CATCTTCCCGCAGCAGGAACCCATCATGACATTTGCAGATATACGAATCATCAGTATTAACACAAACATGCTCACAGCCATGGTTGACTGATTTGCAAAGATCTTTATCTGAAAACAGATGACAGCTCTTGCTGGTTAATGCATTTCTGCACAAGCATGAGCTGCACATGATAAGGATGCTGATAAACATCAAACTACTTACTTCTGCATGTTTTTCCATCTTCTCTTAGTAAGAATCCCTCCTGACATTTACAGACAAATGAATCCCCAGCATTAACACAAGCATGTTCACAGCCATGGTTGACTGACTTGCAAATATCCTTGCCTGGGAATAGTTAGATAATATTTAATGCTATTTTCTACTTAAATTTACTTTATAAATACAAAGGCTGAGGGGTAATGCCATGAGCAGAGAAAGATGGAAGCCTGCAAACTGAAAGTGAATCTCTGGCTAATTAAATGACAGACAGCTTAGTTTACAGGAAGCATGAGTTCTTTACCATCTGAGCAGAAAGAATTGCATGGTTTGGATGTTCTCCCACTGACAATAAATCATTTTAGAATTAATCCGACTAGATTCAGGAGGAGGACTTTACATTAAGAGCTCAAAGAGTGATAGGAGGAAATAATTTAGTACAGTCATTTAGTGCAAATTAATGCTGGTAAAATCGAAATTAAGCAAAACACCAGAGGCACGAAGCAAAATAATTCTTTAGCATCCTTAAATCAATGGCAAGAGTATACACAAACAAACCACAGATGAATAGGAACTATTCATTTAAGAGGATATATAAAATCTAACCGGCATTGCAGAAAACTGATGCTAGGATTTGTATGACTGTAATGTTAAAGCCCCTTCAAGAAGGATGAATGGGGAGAATGTACAGGTGGAAGTGGAGCCACCTATGAGCACTCCCCATTTCTTTTTCACTGCAACACAAAAGAAAATATTCTCAATTGCTAATGGAGAACTAGCTTTATATAGAAAGTAGAACAGTACTGACAGCCAAGTTCAGACTGACTCTTCAGCAAAATACTTAGATTTAAGATGCAGGGAAGAAAAATTTGATTTTTACAAGAACTTCGTTCTGAGCCAAACTCTCATTCCAAAAATGACTATAAAGGACAATCTTCTAACTCAACAAGCATTACATTTAAGACATGGCAATCTAAACCAGATCCCATCTAAACCAGCAGAGAAAGGAGTTATCATGTAAGTAAAAACTCGCATCTGCTTATAGAGATCTGTGTTGAACTTAGACACATTTGTTGGTTGTAAACTGGATCAAATACAAACCAGCAGCAGACATGCCTATTACTTCAAGAGGATAAATTTTACATAGCTGAAAGCAAATATGAGCCAGAGTATTATGGATTGGGAGGGGAAATAATAATAATGATAAAGTGAACAATTGCACTGTTTAAGGTTATTTTACTAGATAACCTCCAAAAATGTAGCCCCATAATCTAAAAATGACAGAATAGTTAAAAAAGCAACCTAATTTAGAAATTACAGTTCAAAACATCTATAAGTTTTGAATAATGATTGAAAGAAAGGCACATTCATAGTATTTACTGAACATGAAAATACCAGGAATTTGAAAACACTGATAAAGGACATGGGGGTGCACGGCCAACAAAATAAAGGACAGTGTGAGCAACTTTTTTAAAGACTATAAGGAACAGAAAATATTTTAACAATGTATTGTTAATAGATAGGAATGGTAGAATTGCTAGTCTTAATGCAGAAATATTGAAAATATTTAGTGTATTCAGATCTGAACTTATTAAATAGTCTACTGATAATATTATTGGAGTGAAGAGTTTCATTAGCTGATAACCCAGTCACACAGTACCTACTGAACATACACACTTTAAAATCAGTAACTCCAGATAACTTGCATTGAAGAGTTGTAAAGAGCTGGCTGAAGGACACTTGGGATGCTTAGTGTTATTTTTCAGTAACTCCTAGAACTCCAAGGAAGCCCCAAAAGACTGAGCAGTCTCTATCCCCAGTGTATGCATAGAGACTGAAAAAAAAAAAGCTGTTCCAGTGTTTGAAGAGGATGAGTAGTTCCTTGTAAGCCTGCACTTATATATTATACACTAATCTGCATTAAAATAATGGAATAGATAATGTTGAACTTGATTCAGAGTAAAATCAAAGAAAGAATTAACATCAATCAACTTGGTGTCATGGAAAAATAGATCCTCAAAAAACAAAATAACTTTTTAATTTATGAGGTTGTTTCATAAAGCTCATGCTGTTCATACAATGGAGCTTTCAGTAAGGTAGCAGTCTTTGTATTTATTTTGATTAAGAAAACATACTACAGAATCAACATTGTATGGATTAGCACTGGCTAGAGAGATCTTCAGGATAAACTGTAAATGGGGAAATGTCAGGTGTCTTTCTTTCTAAGAATTTGCCCTGCTCCTCTGCTAACAATGTTTTTATGAACAACCCAAAAGAAAATTCAAAACAATCGCTGACAAAGTTTGTATGTTACTCCAGTTTTGAAAGAATGGCAAATAAAAATAGAGCAGTTGCTGCTATAAGGAGATGTGAATCTTTTTGCAAGATGGATAACAGCAAATCATATGTATTTTATAATAGCCAGAGCTAAGCTAATATATTTAGAAGCAAAGAATGAAAGCTGTACTTAAAGGATGTGTGACATCTGTGTGACTGAGAGTCTTAAAGAGCTTATGATGATGGTAAATAACTAACTGAAAACAAGTGCTAGAAGAATAATTTGGTCACAGACTAATGTTGTCTTTGGTCATAAAAAAAGATAGATTAAAAAAAAAGATAAAAGATAAAAAAGCTGAACTCAAAACAGAATTAGCTGGGTTATAGTTCATCTACCCTGGCTTGTGCTGTGTCTTCAGTTAGAAGACTTTGTACTGTTGTGGTGCCCCCAGAGGATATTGCTAAATATTATAAATATTGCTAATAGTAGTAGAGGTTTTAGAAGAAGCAAGAAGAGACTTATGAAAATATTAGAAAACATATGAAGGAGTTTCATCTGCTTATCATTTGCAGAAGAACATGCTAAGAGATTAAGAACAGATTAAGTCATGGTCTGCACAAACACATAACACAACGCCACGGTGGCAATTAGAACTCCAACCCATCAAAGTAAAATGCAGAAACATCCTATACTCAAGATTAAAACTCAACATACTCAATTCTAGTAATGAAGTTCACATTTTAAAAGCTACATTTCATATCTTAAAATGGGCCAATTTTCTGAAATGCATCTTTAGTTCACACTGTATTTCATACTAGTCTTCTGATCTATAGAGAGCAATATTTGTTCTTACCACTATGAATCAGTGAAAAAAACCCTACTAAAAGGAAAATGAAATTTCTTCTTTTATTCATAAGCTACTTATTTCGGCATGTTTTCCCATCTTGCCTTAGTACAAATCCATCATGGCATTGGCAAATGTATGAATCATCAGCATTAACACAAAGATGTTCACAGCCATGACTGACTGATTTGCAGATGTCCTTGTCTAGGAATAATTTATATTTTATTTACTACAGTTTGATGAATTAGAACATTTCCAAAACTTTAAAGACTAAAAATGATAAGCTCTTAGTAAATAAATAAAGTATCATCATTTTTGTCCAGCAAAATCCCCTGTAAAAAGACCTACCTCCTCCCTCCAGACTATGTTACTTCAGTAGACTTCCAAGTGGAAAACATACAGTGACATAACTTACTTTTACAGGTTTTCTTATCTTCTCTCAATACAAAACCCTCATAGCACTGGCAAACGTATGAACTATCAGTGTTCACGCAAACATGCTCACAGCCATGGTCAAGAGAATTGCAAACATCTTTATCTGGAAAAAACACAAGGTCGTTGGTATTTAAAACGTGTCTATGAATGCACAGGCTATAAAGGACATCTCCTATTAAGGAGATGGTCACTTACTTCTACATGTTTTTCCATCTTCCCGTAGTGCAAACCCCTCGTGACACTGGCAGATGTATGACTCGCCAGCATTAACACAAACATGTTCACAGCCATGGTCAACTGAACTGCAAAGGTCTGCATCTGAGAACAGTTGATGTTTTGGTTAAAGCACATCTACAGTGAACGTTATCATGCAGGGAGAAGTAATAGGTTTTATTAGGCCTACTAATATCACTGGATGAAACGGGCAAAAATTTTGGCAGAAATCACTTCTAACTCTTGGTACCTGAAAAACTGTGAGTCTTTTTTTGTCTCCAGTCATACTAGTTCAGCTCTTAAAATACACTATTTCTGTCCTCGGAATCTCTTACAAGCTTCTGGCAGGTGTAACAGTACTACCTGTATACTACAGCAGTGAACTTGTTGTATTTGTTAGAACACTTCCACAAATCTGCATACTGTAGATAAAAGTCTATGGGTAATTATCAGAGTACTTACTTCTGCATGTTTTCCCATCTTCTCTCAGCAGAAACCCCTCATGACATTTGCAAACATAGGAATCATCTTCATTAACACAAATATGCTCACAGCCATGGCTGACTGATCTGCAGATGTTGTGTCCTGGAAATGATTGATATAAACAGAGGTTTTGAATGAAAACATGTTAAAAAAATGTGGATATCAAAAGGAAGCTTGGGGCTTTTTTGTTTTTTTTTTCTGTTTCCAGTAAGAAGTGCAAAACCCTTTCCTTTTCTTTCCTTGCCTGTTGCACATGCAAAAATGTTGACTAGATTCTGGTCACTCACTTCTGCACGTCTTGCCATCTTCTCTCAGCATGAATCCCTCACGACACTTGCAGATGTAGGAATTTTCAGCACTAACACAAATATGCTCACAGCCGTGGTTAACTGATTTGCAGACATTTTTGCCTGGGAATAATTTAATAAACAAAAAATACTCTTAGTTAAGGGCAAGATGTTCAAAGTTTTACAATTCCCAGCTACTTAATGTTCTTGTCCTTGGTAGTATACTGGACTCAATCCTGCAAATCATATATAGCACCTGCTGTTGTCTTTCGTTGTAAAAGAAAAGTAGATCTTTGTCCTGCTAATTTTACAACATTACTATTAAGGAAAAGTGCATTGTTCCAGTCCTAGAATTTGTAGAATTTCACATGTCCCTAGCACACGCATTAGTGACCCACAGGGATTTCCAAAGGCCCTTAAATCCAACATCCACATTTCAAGTAAACTTTCTGGTGAGAAACAGATCTTTTTGTGTTCAGTATCATGAGTCAGTCAGAATCATGGAAAAGTCTCTGAAGAACACACAGGTATGAAGTGTTTTGTAACTGTAATTCAAATAATATCCATAGATCTCATCAACATCTGCTGTTAAAAAAAAAATCACAGGGAAAAACAAAAGTCATTCAGCTATTACCATGACAAACTTAAAGCTCCTTATTCTCAGTTTGTCTATCACGACGACATCCTATTTTGTTATTCCATGTAAACAGAGACAAATTCTGCTTGTCTATAAAAAGCATGGACAATTTGAAAGCAAAGGAAATGTTCTGTCCGCGCTGAAGTCCAGAGGGATTAAACAGATTGGAGCATTGAGCAATAAATAATGGGCTGAAATTTAGTAAGTCCAAATACCAGAATCTGCGATTCACGAGTATAAATTTGGAGAGGAGTGTCTAAGGAGCAGTCCTGCAGACAAGGATCGGGGGGTGCTGGTCAACAGAAGGCTCAACAGGACCCAGCAGTGTGCCCTGGCAGCTAAGACGGCAAATCACCTCCTGGGGTGCATCAAACGGGGTATAGCCAGGTGGCCAAAAGGGGCAATTATCTCCCTGTAATCAGCATTGGTGTGACCTCACCATGAGCACTGTGTGTAGTGCTGGGCACCACAGTTAAAGAGAGATGTGAAGGTCCTTGAATGTGTCCAGAGGAGGGAAACAAAGCTGGTGAAAGGGCTAGAAGGAGTGGCCTATGAGGAGCAGCTGACAACTTTGGGCTTGTCTAGTTTGGAGAGAAGGAGGCTGAGAGGTGACCTCATTGCTCTCTACAGCTTCCTGAGGATTGGAGGGGCAGAGGGAGGTGCTGATTTCTTCTGCTTGGTATCTAGTGACCGGACATGTGGGAATGGCTCAAAGCTGTGCCAAGGAAGGTTCAGACTGGGCATTAGGAAGCATTTCTTTCCCAAGAGTGTGGTCAAACACTGGAACAGGCTTCCTCAAGAGGTGGTCAATGCCCCAAACCTGTCAACATTTCAGAGGCATTTGGACAACACCCTTAACAACATGCTTTAACTTTTGGTCAGCCCTGAAGTGGTCACGCAGTTACAATAGAAGATCATTGAAGCCTTTCAGTTGGAATTATTCTAATTCTAATTCTAATTCTAGCCTTGCAGGAAAACAAAGGCTCTTGGTAAGAAAGTGAAAACAAGTTGTTAGTTTAGCTAATGTTAATCAAGAGATTGTATTTTATTTTATTTGAAATATGAATTGTATCTAATTTCTATGTCAGAAAATCCCTCTGAACATCTATTTGCCTAATTATAGTTGACAATTTTCCAGAATTTTACAGCAGGGTCATATAATTTGTCTTTCTTGCTACCTTTAAATGCTACGTACACCAAATTTTAGTAATCCTAATTTACAGAAAAATTATGAACACCGAGGAAACACAGAGGAAAACAAAGCATAACTATTTCAGATTTGAGCAGATTCGGTCAAAGCTATAAAAATTTGCAATTAATTTTTTCTTGGTATCTGCCACGCATCACAACTGTGTAAATGTAGTCAAATGTGTAATGCAATCATCTTTGAACAAAATTAACTTTCATTTAATAATGCAAGCTTCATGTCTTAGAAACATTATGTATTTTTACCTTGATTTCAGAAGAAAATTACAGTTGTCCCATGAAAAGATGTAGGTCAGAATAAAATAGCTTTCAATCCACAACAGTCCAATTTTAGGGCTACTTTTTAAAAAGCACAGACATTCAGGGTGTGATTCAGCTGCCTGAAAAGCATTCATCCAGTACCGCTTCAGATGCCTTAGAGTATCCAAGATATTGACATACTGCTGGCAAATATGACACCAGAGGGGAAACTATCAACTTTTGGAATCTTTGAGCATTTAAAATGACACTGGACAGCAATATTTAGACAATCAAATCCTACCTCACAGATTTCTTCTATGTGTATGATAAAAATCTAAGTCTGAGTTGCTGAATAATAACTTACGTTTACATGTTTTCCCATCGCTACGAAGCTTGTATCCTTCAAAACACTGACAAGTGTAAGATCTGTCACCACTGACACACAAATGTTCACAGCCATGATCACTCAGAGTGCAATAGTCAACTCCTGTAGGAGCAATTGAAGTTATTAAGGAATGTAACAGAGAATCAAACACTTATTTTTCATCCCTAGTATTTGCATGGCATATAAGTAAATACAAATACATTGAACTGCTTAAATAATAATCCAGTTCCTTATCTGATAATACATATATAGCTTCCATAAAATGTAAGAGGGCCTTGTGGTGTACTTTCCATTTGTTGCCTTAAGCAGAGTTGAGATATCATCCTTTCCTATTCACAACATAGCTCAACAGAGTCCATGTCTCAGCACTTACGAATTTGAAAAACCTAAACCAGAACAAATTAGCAATGATTTTATAAAAGACAGCACCAAAGACATAAAAGCTACCTTGTGAGCATTCCTTAAATACAATCTCTAAGTGGCCTGATGTGAAGGTGGCAGTCCCCAGAATTCACTTGTGTACCTGACCCAGATGCCATGGTAGCAAGCACAAAACCTCTCAGGCACCTCAGTGGGCTTTGACTTAAGACTATTTGAGCTTTTGTAAAGAATTGCAAATGACAAGTAATGTCAAATATAATCCATTTTTAATCTCAAATATCCTAAGTGTTCATTCTCTGTAATACAAAGACATAGAACCCCCAGGATCCTGTAGGCAGCACTTGCTACTGTTTGAAGGCTACACACATAGTGTGAAATCATTTTTTGTTATTAGTTGTCAGGGTAGAAATCCATTTACCATTTAGGTATCACAGCTGCCTTAAGATATTTATGCCTGTGTTTATGATGCCAGAATTGTAATTCCCAGACGTTTTCCCATTAGAAGTGGTATATGTTAATTGTGCTAATCCCTTCCATTCAACTGCTCATTCAGGAAATCCCAAAGTGTCATCTTTTCAGGATAGCCTAAATATGTCCATGAGGTTTCAAAACTCATCTGGAGCTCGGGAACAGGACAAATCTCTTTCCTAAAATATGTTTGAGGAGAGAGGTGTGCTGGCAAGAAGTGGATCTATCCAAAAGGCCTTAGCTTCATTGCATAAAAGGATTCCAGAAGCCACAGCACTGTTTTAATGCTGCTGATAGGTCTCCCAAGTATGGCCTGGAGGAAAGTAACTCAAGAGTGAAAAAAACCACCTATTTTTAGTGCAAGAGAAGAGGGATTATCCATTGCAGGTTGATAAAGCTCCCCAGTCTGGTTGTTTCTAAATTTCCAGTAGTTCTTTTCCATAAATGTCTAGATAAATCTTTCCAGTAGACCCTATTGCTGTTATGTGTACACTAGTTCTGCTTCTGTGTTACAGCTACAGTGGCAGACAGAAGCAAAGTCTGTCAAGGTACTGGATGGAGCTAGAAAGGTTACTATGGAGGCAAAGACAAGTTTAAAGACAAAGACAAATTATCTTTGCTGGTCTGCCTCACTTGTCTCTAGGTAATTTTTGTGACTGAGCACTTGCAGTTTGATTTCTGTTAGAACTGTGTTGCCTGAGTGCAAGAAAATGAACGAATTCTGGAGCTGCCCAACACTCAAGCCTGAAAAATAACATACCTCCAAAATCTGTAGAAAAAATGGCCAAAACCCTTTCATCAAAGAAGTCTGGGAAAAATCAACAGGCAAAATGCATTCACATTCCTCTTCTCCTGGCCCTTTCTCTATATTATTTTTCCAGTGGAGAAGGCAATTCAGCTATTTACAAAACTGCAATGATTCTCAGTGATGATTAGATTTATAAAGGGTGGAGAACTGTCACGACAATTTTGTTCACTTATTAAAGGTTCCCATGCAAAATGTGAACCTCAGTGTGGGACTCTCACTTCTCCTCCTGCCCCAGGTAAGCTGATGGAGTTTGCCTGGGGGACATTGACCTGTCAGTCATATTGCAAAACTGTCCTCATCACCTGGAGATGAACAGATCTTTCAAAACTGTCCTGAATATGTGAGGGTTTGGAGTTGTCTTGTATCATGTCCTAACTCCTTTTTCTGCCTGTTTCTGCTTTCAAGTCACTACTAAAATACTATCAAAATGCAGACTGTAAGAACAAATCAGAAGTAAATAAATCAACTCTTTCCTGTAAGAAAACAGAAACCTTTCCCAGGCAAGCTGAGATCAAGGGGGTTCTCAGAAGACTTAGGTGTGCAGGTTTTTAGGTCCTCATTGATGACAAATCCTAAAAAGCACTGACAGATATAGGAGTCATCAGTATTTAGGCACAGTTGCTCACATCTATGATTGCTTTCAGCACAGTGGTCCACTCCTATTGATTTGTGTTAATAATTGAAGAAATCACATTGGAACCTTAGATACATACACTATGACACTGTAGTTAGTACATGATGCCTTTGAAGAGCAAGGGAAAAAGATCAGTACAGCTTTTTATTTATGTAGCATCCCCACTCATTTGAGTAATCTGAGTTAATAAACAACACCTAAATGAAATTAATACAACCACCGCACTTGGCAGTTAAACCTGATGAAGTGCACATCTCCCTCGCCAAAAATCACCAAGGGAAACTAATGCAAAGTGGAGTGAAGGGTCAACCTTGAAGTCCTGCCTGGTCTTACCCAAAGAATCAGGCTTGCTTTCTTTAAAAAGCAAGACTCTTTTGTTCTCTACAAGATTTTCTCAGTCAGAAGAAGATTAGCAACTCTTGACAGAGAAATTATGGCTTTCAGATTATTTTATAAACAGTAAATTCTTTTCCAGGAGGGAGAGAAATCACCTGTTTATAACTTTAACCTGCCAATAGCTTCAAACACTTAAAGCCTAGTGGCAGGCAGATACACATTATGAGCATGAGCGTCTTTTAAATATGTTCCTTTTCTTTGATTTTTCTACTCCTGTTCCAAATAAGATAAAGTGGAATATATTTTTTTTAGTCTTGTATTCAACTGGTAGTGTGAAAGATGAAGGCTGGGGGAAGGGAGAGAGAGGTGTGAATTTGGTTTAAGAAATATATTGCCTCAGGGAATGGGCAGCAAAGCAGTAGGATGAGATACATGCACTTGAATATGTGCTATGTAATCTGCTGGCCCTTTACGTACAGAAAAAGCACATTTTAAGAAAAAAGCTTTATACTGAACTTCCACCTAATATTTTACTGCAGACTTGTTAATGGTTATTTTTAGTTACATAGGCCCAAATCATTTTAGCTTAACTTGATCAAAAATATTGGAGTTTCCTCAGACACAAACACAGTCTCATATGTCTCTATTTGCAAATCATTTACAGATGTGAACAGGCACATCTGCAGCTATTTGTTTACAGAGAAACAATTTCTGTATTTAATGTAAAACTACTTAGTTCTAAATATTGCTCTTTATTCGTTTTAACTAAGCAACAGTTTTGCAGTAATTGGTCCAGATTTACCATTATACACAGATACAGATAATGTTGGCTTGAACAAGTGAAGCTAAGGTGTCGGTTTTTTACTAGCTAAAGTAAGTTCCAGCTGGAACATTCTACTTTTTCCAAAAGTTTACGTCATCATGAAGAGACTTGTGTAACTTCTCAGAGCACAAAAAAATGTGGAATAGAAAATAAAAAGCCCCAGTATTCTCTGTGAAAAACTGCATCTGTTTGGCACTGTCTTTTACAACACAAACTCCCAAAGTAATATGAATTTTAACATTTAATTACTTTGGGTTCTCATGCGGCATCATTTATCACACTCTTTCAGAGTGGAGTAATCACAAAGGTACTAATTACCAGGCTTTAGGAATTATTGTAAATATAAATTTGTTCATGATATGAATGTGTAAAAAAAAAAAGTAAGCATGGGAAGGGACAGGGGAAGGCTTAGGGTTTTTAAAAATAATTGGTGTCTTGGGATATATTAATGTTTAGATATTCAACTTGTGATAGCCTAAAAGCATAATGGTTAAAAAAGTTTTGAGCTCTTGCAACATATCCAAGTTTGCTTAAATATGGCTTTATCACAAACAGTTTATTTAAAAATAATTACCTCCTGGACTATCAACTTTTTTTAAAATTTCAGTGTCTAAGTGTTCCTTTGGAAAAATGTGTCAAAGTACATCAGGGAAAAATGGTGCCAATAGTTTAGATGATTTGCAAAATGGTTCTCTGCAATAAAAGTATCTTCTAAAAACTGGATGACATCAAGTGGACAACATTGTTTGGTTTCTCTAGTACGACCCTGATCCTTTGTTTAGTAACAGTTGTATTAAAAGAGGACATTTTATCAAACAGATCACTGGAAATGTAAATGTAGAAGAGGGAAGTCTCTACATATCTCTACATATCAGCAGCATAATCAGTATCAGACGTGCTGCAGTTTACGTAGCCCATAGCAATGATACAGATGTCCAACAGTAAGCACTGGCTTTGTGTTAGACCCCTTGGCTGAACACATTTTCCCATTTATTTGCATTGGAAAAGTTGATTCTTTAATTCCATATTGCATCAGGGATCTCACCATAGCATTACTTCACTAGACCTGGCTTGTGGTGGACTTTATAGCAACATAGGTTTGCAGAGCTCAGAAAGATCTCAAAAGGGACCCAGGAGCGTTATCTCATCCTGTTCCCACCTGGCCCCACTGCAGTGACCACCCACTGCAGCTCTGGAGACAGGCTCATTTCTGCGCTCATTGCCGTCAGACCATTGGGTGCATCCAGAATGACATTCGCACACAAGTGAGTCTTCCACACTAACATATTCCCGTTCAAAGTCATGCTGACCTAGAGCACATAAGTTCTGTGGAGAGAAAATCAGTGAAGAACTCAAGCCAGCCATGAGTGTTTCTCAAGTAAAATGGCTTAGAAAAACTCACTTTTCTTAAACAATACTAGATTCTGTACTTTGCAGACTTCTTAAAGCTGATAGCGAGCTGAGGATCTGAGAGTGGATTGCAAATACTTGGCTATGCAAGACTTCACTTTGAGTCCTATAGAGCTGCTCCTGTAGCCACCAGAAGGCACACATGGTGGTGAAGGAGGAATGCCTGGTGCTAGTCATCAGTGATGCATCCTCCCTTACTTATAAAAAGGCTGTGTATGCAAGTGTTCTGCTTTATTTTACAAGCTTATCCAACATGAGCCTTGTTATAACAAGATTTGGAATAGGAGCTTAATCCTGGAAATGCCATCATGTTTACAGCCAAATCCAAAGCCCCCTAGGGTTAAGGAAAAATATCTCAAATGGGAATTACAATTTGCCTTTAATTCACAATTACATTCTTGGCAATAAATACTGTACACAATGTTGTTCTTTTGCTTCTATAATCACGAAGGCACAGCCAAGCTATAAAAACCTGAATGTATTAAAATACCATATAGATAATAAAACCATAATAGCATGGATTGCTATAGAAATGGCACTGCGTAGACAAAGCTGCTTCGTGAGAATGCATCTTTAAGACTAAAAGAAAATACAGTTTCAAAACATGATAAATTTTATGAGCATCTATAAATATAATTATATTGCTCCAGGCAAGTTTATTCATAAAGTATCAGCAGTACAACTCTGCCCCAACAAGAACTGAGTCACCAGATCAGACTAGTTCATTTTAGTGTATATATTCTCCTTAAATGTTAACAACACTACATTGAAAATCTGCTGATTTCATACCCCCACTTAAGAAGAGCTGTTCTAGGAAAGAAATTTCAAAGTAAATAGTATGTGTGATTGGTTTAGAACCCTGACATTGCTGGAGCTCTTTTTGCAGATTTTAGGAAACAGAGGGGTTTTGTGTGTGCCTTTAAGTTGATTTTAACAGCTATGTTACCTGTCCAACACTTTCCCAAGCTAATGAAATACATTTGTCCTTGTCTAAACCAAATGAGCAAAGCAAGGTGATTTTTTTTTTTTTTTAAAGCTGGTTGAGTCACTAAAAGACAAGGTCAGAAAGTTTCGAATACGTAATGAACTTATTGGTTTTGAGCCACTCTGGTTCTTCTATTGCTCCTCATCTTTCCATAAATCTCTCAAGAAAATGTCTAATATACACCCTAGTATGCAAAGCAGCAAGCTATATTTTTGCAGCACGACAAGCTTAGTAAAAGTCAAGTTTGTAAAGAAACATTTGTTTCAACTTTAGCTATAGAGAAAACTTTCATCCTTTCATAAGGGAAACAGTTCACAGCAGGTTTAAGAAAGAAATGCAGATGAACTTTATTATGTCCAAGGAATTACTCACTTTTGCATGTTTTCTTATCTGGATTAAGTATAAACCCTTCCTGACACCGACAAAAATAGGAATCATCTGTATTAACACATTCCTGTTCACAGCCATGGTCCTGAAGAGCACAATAGTCTGGTCCTAAATAGGAAAAAAATTGTATCAGTGAGGAACATAATTCCTCAGAAATTAGCTAGGGAAAACCAATTACTTTGTTTTCCTGTATTTAGCCTTTTTTTTTTTTTTTTCTCCTTAAGCATCATTCTGACTTTCTACCATATTGTTCCAAATTATGAAAACAAAAGGTCCCTTTTTCCAAATATCTGCTATACTGAAGTATACATGATATGTATTCTTCAATGTTTTTTTGACAACCCATGTACTACACACAACAGAGAAGTTAGAATGTCAAATATTTCTGAATATTTTGTAGCTAAATCCTCTACGTCACCTCATCAAAACTGCGTCTTTATTTTACTCAGAGCAAGTTAGATATGATCTGTAACAAATACACAAATGTACTTTCTAATCCTGTTCTTTAGATCAAAGCAGGACAATCAGATCACCAGGAGGACTGATGTTTTAACAGCTCCATGTTTTTGCTGCATGGTTCTTCCATTTAAAATGCTCACGAAAGGGAAGATGAGCAAAGTCTAGAAACAGTTACTACTTGTGTATAAAGTAGCTTTAAAAGGAAATTAATTGTTGCAGTAAACACTGGGGTATTTTCCACATAGTATTTACCACTATTGATGAAGTCAAAGAATCAAACTTTCACTTAGATACAGTGTCTGGCCATCACTTAGTCTTATATCAAGTGGAGCTAATTGACATATTAGTGAAAGAATTGTCTTAATCCCTCAAAACTACTTAAAATGGGTACACAAGTCACAAATCAATTAAGTTGTATTCTTAAAGACACCCAGGCACCTTTGAACACCTCATTACACAACCTGACAACTGACATTCAGAAGTTAATTATTATTCCCAGAGGTAACTTGCTTCCTGAGGCGGGAACTGTTTGTTCCTTGTGTTCAGTGGCTTAGTGCAATTGAGCCTTTATATATGATGTAAGTCTTTAGCAATCCTAACCCACTTATATTTTCAGGACAAGCAAAGTGCAATGTGACTTTCTAAGAAAAACTGAGAGGAGTATTTTTCTGTTTATGAACTCCATTTTATATGTTTATAGAACATTCCCTTTACCAAAGCTTTTTATGACAGCATATGCTTATACATTACACAGGGTTATCTTATGTTTACTAAAAAAAAAAAAATTAAAAAATTAGAAGACGTGGTTTGCTCAAGAGTGCACTGAGGAGACAGGAACCATAAAGGCACATGTGTGCACCAGAGGAAAGCAGCTGTATGCCTTCTAGACCTACTCAGTGCTGTGTTGCATTTATCTGCTCAAACCCTTTCTAAGTCAAGTGTGCAGGAGAGACTATCCTGGGTACTTGATTCTGAAGACAACCACAGGAGTTGAAAATTATGTGTAATTATTTTTGTTACAACCTTGAGGCTATTATGTTGCGAACACTAAAACCACACTTCACAGGGCTTCATCAACACAGATCAGATTAAGGGTGCTAACAGAAGGCCTTGATCAGCTACAGCTCATGAGAACCCACCGACAGCTCCAACCAGGCCTTCCCTAAAGAACAACAGTTGAGGCTCACCACCCCTAAGTGCAAGCAGAAGCTATCACCTGTCCTCTCGAGAGGAGCAACAAGAGTGGCAGAAGTCTCCTTAATAGTTAACTTAGTAGCTAGGAGTGACGCCTGCCTGCCTCACGGACAATCTGAAGTTGCTGCTCTCTTCCAGCCACACACAGAGTACACTGCTGGTGTTGGCAGGGCTGTCCATATGAGCTGTGTTCCCTATATTTCATTCTGAGAAGTTTGGAACAATTCCCAGAGAAAACAATTATTAGATATGCATGACTGTACTGATAACATTTACATTTTCAAGCTTTTCTTCGTAACCATGAGCATGAAAGCTTACTTTATATTTTTGAAAGGAAAGCCAAGATTCTGAGACAATCATGAGATCTTGGGAGCTGGCGTCCCAGGCCCTGGCAAGCTTGCTGATGCAGAGATCTGGGTCTGGCATAGGTGTGAATCTTGACTAGCTGGTGATCAACCCTGAGGTTCAGAAGGTAAGCCAAATATGTAGAAATTTATGTTAAAGGTTTTAAATTTACAAACATTTTAAGTCTAGTGATCTGAAGTTTATTTTTTCATGTTGTTTATGGTGACTCAAAGGCAGCACGATTCATAACATATGGGAGCTAGGGGACACTTTTGCTGTGAAGAGCTCTCATGCCATCTTGGCTTTTGCAGCACTAAGAGCTACACAGTTCTTTCATTCATGCTTTATTTTACTAGCATATATCAAGTGTAAGGAAAAGTGGCTTAAGAGAATGATTTCACACAGTATTCGCTCGTTCCTCCCTGATGACTCCTGAATCAATTTCTACAGCCTACCATGTTCAGTCACACATTGGTGATCTTCCCCTAATTACAGCCTGATGGAATTTGCTCTCTTAATTTTAAACTAATTTAAAGCATTTACAACAAAACAGAATGCAGTTAGCATGGCAGAGATGCACAGAACTGTGAGAAGCCTTGTTTGTGGCCCCTGCCCCATGGTTTGGGAGCTGCACTGAATTTTGGTGATCCTGACCTGCTGACTGGCTGACTTGATTTCCTGAATTTACCTTAGACCTCCCTTGACACCATGGACTTGTCTGGTGATTATTGGACTGTTGGCCGAGCCTGGTTACTGTCATAGGGCATGTTTTGTTATTCTTCTTTGGGTACTCTGGGACCAAAGGCCTTGTCAGAGAGACAACTGACCCTGCTTACCTTGTAGCCATCCTTGGCTCCCAGATTATGCTCCTTTGTGGAGCAGCATACTTTTGTGAGATACATTAAAGATCTCCATTCCACAGAGATCCAACACGAAATCATACATGTGCCTGCTTAGTGTTTCTCGACAAGCTTAGAGGGGAAATAACCCTTGGAATGTGGTAGTGGAGTGTTACCCTACCTGACTAAAAGGACATAGTAATTAAGGCTTTGTACAAACAGCAGAAGTCTCCAACCCATAGGCTGTTCATGTTGGAAATTTCAACCAGACAAACACCTGCTGGGAAGGTAAGACATTATTGTGCAGGCAGGTTTCTGCACACACTTGGTGATAAGTCACCAACACAAATTCTTAAGGAGTGATGTTCTTCTCGACTTGCTGCTATGACCATGAGATAACTGAGTTCACGAATCCACAAGGCTAGGAGGGAGAACAGAATTTGGACTCCATATTTCACAAGCTCAGGTTTCAGCTTACTCAGGCAATTACTAGGAAGAATCCCCTGGGAAACAGCCAAGAAGAGAAAGGATGTCCAAGAGAGCCAGATGATTTTAAAGAAAAGTTGCTAATAGCTCAGGAACAAATGATCCCATCGTACTGGAAAATCTGCTTCAAAGATCAAAGAGCTGCTTGGTAAACTAAAACACAAATAGGGAAAATAGTAGAGAGAGAAAGAAGAATGAAGAAAAAAAGAGAAGTATAAAAGTATTTCTCAGGTAATGTGGGGCAAAAACAAAGCCCAGCTGGACCTATTACTACTGAGGTACACTAAGGGCAATAGGAAGGGAGTTTACAAATATCCTGGTAGCAAAAAGAAAGTCACATAAAATGTAGGTCTTTTGACTGGGGGAACAACATAGTGATGAACAGTACATAAATGGCTGAAAAATATAAAGCCCTTTATATTCCTGTTTCTCAGAGACAAAGGCTACTCTGATTTCCATGTGTACCAGCAGTCTGGGAAGGAGAGAGCCTACCAAAATCGGTCAGAGACTACTTAGGGAAACTGGATATGCACAGATCCATGATATGACTGATATTCACCTGTGGGTGCTGAAAGAGCTAGGTGATGGGGCACCACTATCATGCATGAAAATTCACAGGGAATGAATGAGGTACCTGATAACTGAAAAATGCTAATGTGACACTCATCTTTGAAAGAAGGGAAGAAAGAAGGCCCAGGGAACTATAGACCAATCCACATAATTTCAGTCCCAGGATCATGGCCTACATGGAGGTGGAGAAGGTCTATTCAGAAGGGTTTGTAATGATAGGACAAAGAGTAATGGTTTTACACTAGGAAAGGATAGATTTAGACTGGATATTAGAAAAAAAGTTCTTTAATATAAGGGTGATACATCAATGGAATGGGCTGCCCAGAGAGGTGGTGGAGGCCCTATCCCTGGATTCACTCAGGGTCAGGCTTGATGAGGCTCTGAGCAACCTGGCCTAGGTAGAGATGTCCCTGCTTGTGTAGGGAGATTGGACCAGATGACCTCTAGAGATCCCTTCCAGCCTAAAACGTTCTATGATTCTATGCCTGACCAACTCTGTCATTTTCAATGATGAATTGACTGCATCTGTGAACAAGGGAATATTGGTGGATGTAACACACTTTGGTACTAGTCATGCTTTCGATGCTGCCTCCCACAGCATTCTCATTTGGAAGGTGTGGAAGTATGGGCTGGAAGAACTGTTAGTTGGGGTGAGAATTTCCCAGGCCACCAGCCTCAAATGAAAGTGATCAATGGCTTCATGTCTGTCTGGTTGCTGATAAAGACCAGAGTACAACAGGGAACAGTACCAGGGGTCATACTGCTAAACATCTTCATCAGTGACATAAATGATGACAGAACAGGAACACTCAGCAAATCTATGGGTGACATTAAATTAAGGACAGTGACTGAAAGCAAGCACAGAGGAACCTTGATAAACTTGAAAACTGGACCATAAGTTCAGCAAGAAGAATTGCAAAGTTCTGCACCTGGGTTGGAAACAGCCCACAGTTTGTACGGACTGGGAAATGACCCGCTGAGGGCAGCATGGGCCAGCTGCTCCCTAAGGGAAGGGGAGCCGGGAGCCAGGGGTGCCCATACAGCTGAACAGGGCAGAGGCCTTGCCAGACTCTGCTCTGCGGTACCTGAGTGAGGTGAGCAGGGCAGGCCTGGAAGCAGTAGCCAGGTTTAACCAGAAGTCCAGTTTATCAGGCAAGTGGGTGATTCAGGTTGGACATGAGGAAAATGTTTTTCACCAGAGGGATGGTGGAGCAATGGAAAAGGTTGCCCAGAGAAGTTGTGGACTCTATGCTGGAGCTTTCTGAGAGTCAACTAGACACAAACATAGCTTTGGTTCTCAATCTCCAGTTTGTGTCAGTTCCACTTGGAAGAGGACACTAGAGCAGATGACTTTCAGTGATCCTGTCCAACTAGCATCTGAAAGCTCTTTTGTTTCCAACAAAAAGAGCAGCACAGAGTCAGACTGACAGTCTATGCAGCTCTATATAGCCCAATGTGCTGTCTCAAGCGATAGATACCCAAGTCGGAGGACAGAGACAGGATGAGCCTGAAATGCTACTATCCCAGAACATTCTCTCAGCTTGCAGCACTCTGTGGATCACCAATTTAAACAGGTTAAAATAATTCATATGGTTAGACCATAAGCTGAAACCCACTCAAGACATAAAATGTTTATGAAGTTTTAAGGTCTTTGCTCAGTTCAATTCGGAGGAGAAAACACAGCTTAAAATACACATTTTTAAACTGAAGGAATTAAAAATTTGAGCTTGGGCAGTGGAAAGCGCTTGCACTGTAGTAAGATTTCAAAAATACATGCATGTGGAAGTGTATGTGGAGGTATAAGAGAATTTAGTCAGCCCTTAGCTGACAGATACTTGACAAATGGGCAAGTTCAAACAATCTACAAGCATCATGAACCAGTACAAACTGTGCTCTGGCCATTGGGGAGACAGCAAACCCATGTTCCCTGACTCTGACCACCTAAAAATTAGATGTCTAGTCTGGCAAGTCACCCAGACTCCTGCATAGTCAAGGAAAACACAGGCACTTCCATAATTTTGTGTCAGAGCTGTGAGCAATCACCTTCTAGATGTGCGTGTCTATTTCCCTTGATCATACGGTTAGATCTACAGTCTGGCTTAGATGTTTTCTTTCTAAATGTTACATTTAAGTGAAATAGATACCAAACATAATACACAATACAGTCTCTAGATTAACAGTCTCTTATCCTAAAGATTGATATGCTCCCAAGGTTGTAAAAAGCACAGAAATGCAATGCTATACTAATGTATTTTTTTGAGAAGTAATGTTTTAATATGTTATTTCATAATATGGGCTAAAATTCACCACTAGCATCAGCAGCTCCACTCACCTAAAACTAATGGAGTTTGTCTGCTTACAGACACAATAGTAGCATTTCTTTCTCAAGGCCCACACTTACCAAGAAAGGCAACTAGGAAGATACATGAAGGTTTTTCCTTCACATTTCCTGAAAGCGAGTTATGACATTAAACACAGTAGAGGTTTTAGCTTGTTTTCCCAACTGTGGGAAGCCTTGGCAGGAGTACTTTCTGGTCTGTCAGTTCCCCTCTGCTTTACATCCACTCCTAACTCTGGCAATTTTTGAGCTTTTTGGGCTGGTATCAAATTTGACAAATTACAAACAAGAAAAGCCATGAAGTTATTATAACCTAGTGGAAACATGGAACCACAGTAGAAGATATTGATGTTGCCAGAGCTTTGGCACACTATCACTCTTGAGAAAAATCCACAGAAAAATAGGTTGAAATGTTTCGTCTAATTATGAAACTACTCTATTTAATTTTAGCTTGTCTTACAAACCATACTGATTATAAAGCATCTTGTACAGACTTGTTTGTTTACCAAGATAGGGAGATGATATTCTAACTGAAAATCTGGGTAGTCAAAGACACTATGCAAGACAAAACTTTGGGCTTTTACTGTTGAAAAGGAGTCTGGTTTTATGTCAAAAGCTTCCTGTTCAAAGGAGGGGCCCCTACCCTTAGGCCCTCCCCCAAAAAGCCAAACTACACACCAAACCAACTTTCATAGCTTTCCAGACCTTTGGCATACAGGGCACTCCAACATTTTCTATACCTGACACTATTCAGTGTTCCCAGGACCAGTGGGAGCATTACTGCTGAGAACTGGAATACAGTAGTACAAACTGTTTACAGTTAAACTTTATCACAACTTACTTCGGCAAGTTCTTTTGTCTGGATTTAAAATGAACCCTGGGTGGCATCTACAGTAATAGGAGTCCTCAGTGTTAACGCATTCATGTTGGCAGCCTTGGTTATCCAAAGCGCAGTGGTCTACAACTGAAAAAGAAGAAGAAAACGTACAATTACAAAAACAAAATTAGAACTATTATGCGTAGATATTATGGCACTAGTTACACACAGTGGCTATAAGGAAAAGCTGACACAATTTCTGTCCTGAAGAGCCTTTCTGCAAAAATTAATGCACTTTCAATACCAGTTGGTAAATCAGATTTGATTGAGTCTTGGATGATTACTCCTACCCTTCAAGCATTTACCAGCTCTTGAATTGCCAGGAGCCTTCTCAACATATTTCTCAGATATGGAAACCATGCCTCAGTCAGTAACTCTGTCCAGATGTTCACACTGTAGACCAGGGCGTAGCAAAGTTTGTTTCATTTAGTTCTGGCTTTTGCCTCTCCAGTCCCAGTCCTGGAATTGCTCTGCTTTTCCTTAGTCCCCTCCCAGCACTATTAGTTCTTAAGAGCTGTTCCTATAGCCTGAGTACACAGGAGTCCCTATGCACCTTCTACACCGAGGTCTGTCCCTGTACACTCACTCCCTCTAACATGCTCCACATACATTCTGTACAAAGCAGAAGAGCTTCAGGCTGACATTAATCACTGTTATTTTGCTGATATAATGCCTTTTGTATGACAGAAATAAAATATCATAGCTAGTCCAGTCACTTATTTCATAAGTCTAGTCACATATTATAGAAACCCACATTTACAAGACAGATTGCCAACAGATAATAGTGTAATACTTTAGAGTTTACTCAGTCAAGCCCTTTCAGACGTGCTAAAGAAGTTAAATTATTTCTGCTTATTTATTAGCAGGTTAAGCTGTTTCTTCACAAATGAAGTCTTAGAAGAAATGAAAGATAAATCACAAAGCAGGTGTTCTGTCCCCAAAGAGCTGCCAGGCCCCCTGCAACTTCACCTGATTCTTCGTGCAGAAGACAGCCAAGTGCTTAGCCTCACACAGACATTTAATGAGACAGGTTCCCCTTCTTTGACAACTGAGTAATTTTTTCATTACTTTATACTGCTGAGCCTCCAAAATTGCTATAAGAGGCAGTAATTTGTTTTAATGAAATAAGTTCAACAGCTGTCTCTGAAAATCATGTGTATATTCAGGTGTACCGAGATATTTAGTCAAGGACATCTGGTCAGGAAAGTGGATAATGAATTTAGTTATGTTGAAAAAGCTTCTTCTAACCCTTCAAAATATTTGTGTTCAATCAAGTCAAATTAGACTATTTACTGGCTACTGTATGAGACCATTTTCCTGGCAAGTGCCTTCCTGCTTCCAGACTGAATAGCTTCAGATGAAAACGTATTTACTGAATACGTATTTCAAGGACATAATGCATCATGCAAATTATATATCATCTTTTCTCTTAAATTGCTTCTAAACACATGTATATTTTCAAGTGTTTTAAAAGACATATTAAGAAATAAGTAGGCCAAAGAGTATATATATATTTTTTTCTCTATCTAGCATCATATCTTGGAAACAGCTCATATGGATTGCTCCAAAAAATCATCTCTTCCTCTGCATTAAAAACCTAACAAAATCCATTTCTACCACAATACCTGCAACTGCCTAACTAATGGATATAAATTTGAGAACAGAATAGAATACTTCCAATTGGAAGGGATGTACAATGATGCTCTAGTGCAACTGCATGACCATTTCAGGGTTGACCAAAAGTTAAAGCATGTTGTTAAGGGCATTGTCCAAATGCCTCTGAAATGTTGACAGGTTTGGGGCATTGACCACCTCTCAAGGAAGCCTGTTCCACTGATTGGCCACTCTCTTGGGAAAAAAATGCTTCCTAATGTCCAGTCTGAACCTTCCCTGGCATAACTTTGAGCCATTCCCATGTGTCCTGTCACTAAATACCAAGGAGAAGAAATCAGCACCTCCCTCTGCCCCTCCCCTCCTCAGGAAGCTGTAGAGAGCAATGAGGTCACCTCTCAGCCTCCTTCTCTCCAAACTAGACAAACCCAAAGTCCTCAACTGCTCTTCACAGGACACACCTTCTAGCCATTTCATCAGCTTTGTTGTTTGAGAGACACTGAATGGGTCCTAGAATGCTTTATTAGCAACATCTGAGCAACAAAGCATTCTCAGATGGCAATCTCTTGAGGGAGGAACTATGCCTTCTTATGGCTACGCAGCTGCTAATGTGCTGTGGACAGAAAAGAAAAAAAAAAAACCAAAACAAACAATGAAATAACGAACTAATTTTTCCAGACTTGCTTTTTTTCCATTTATAGCCTTCTGGGGACCTCTTACTCACAGAATTAGGTCTGTTGGACTGTAAGAAGAATGAGCATATAAATTTAAATAATGCCCTTCCACTAACACTGTTAAGAAGTGAGAACATTCTCTTGACAGTTGCTGTTGGAGACAAATATTATTCCCCTTTTTCAACAATTTGGTTTTTTTTTAAATACAAATTGTTCTAATTCCAGGCAGGGTTAGCCTTGCAGACTGGCACTAGTAATTGCTCTACAAATTCATTTCCATTTTAGCTTCGTATTTCATTTCAGTGACACTTGCTTAGAAGGGAAACTTGCACACGCATTCAAGTTGTCCCTGTAATCAAATCTTCCTGAAAAGACAGAGAAAAATTGTAAGTCTATATTTCTCATACAGAAATACTGTAAACTTTTAGCTGGTATACAGAAAATATGCACAGTTTGTATACGAGCAAGACAGAATAATATTTTCCTAATTTTTAACAGCTTTATTATTTTCATATTTCTGTACTGAGTCATGAGTTATACATTAGAACGCAAACACGTAGAGCTCTAACTATTTTTAATGTTAGCCCATGCCTTCTTCATTAAGAAAGTTTTTGAAAGGATTAATTAATGACCTTTTCAGTGAGCAAGCAATTAATTCAGTTGTCATCTCCCCACGCTTGTTCCACTGTTTTTCTTGTTTGGAATTAGCTGATAAGTGATGAGAGCCACCTTTTATTTACCGTACCAGTTCTGCACTCTGGGCATTTACACTGCCCCCACTGAACTGTGGACAGCATGGGTCACCTTTCCCTTGTACTGTTTTTTACCTATGATGTTAGGAGTAAAAAACATCCTATATGTTATTCAGGATGTAAAAGACTTCTTATACATTATTCAGGCTTAGGAAAATGAAATTAAGGAGAAGTGTAGGAAAAAAAAAAAGGTAGGACGAAAAGGTGACAGAATAAGTAAAGGCATAAGGAAGATGAAGGAGGACTTGAGGGAAACATAGAGCAGACTTCATGGAAGACTTGTGAAAACCTAGAAAGCAGCCGAAAAAACCTAGCCATGGCAGGGCTGCAGAGAGGTGTCAGCAGCCAAAACACTGCCAGGAGAAGAGGTCCAAAGCCCAAAAAACAGCTGCAGCAATATGGAGACAGTCTAGCACCAGTGCCAGGAAAGAGAGGACAGCATGTCCAGCAACACCAAGAAAGTGGAAAGACTTGAGTGTCCAGCAGCATGATGGAGAAAGAATAGCTCATTACCGCCAAATTTTAAGTGCCAGGAATCTGTTCATGTGAAGAGAGGACAGCTAACGTGAAAAGCTGTTTAAAAAGGCAAAGCACTAGTGCTCTGTCAGCCATACTTATCACTGGGCACACATTTTCAGACGTTTAGTCTACATATTTGTTCATAAACTCTGTTGTAAACACTCAGAGTGATTTGCCATTCACTGGTCACTCTGAATGGATATGTTATGAGTTGCTGGTTGTGAGATTTTATTTGATTATTACCATTCAGGTAACTGGCTGACCCATGTCAATAAAGCAATTAGGATTGCCTTTGAACCTTAACTAGAGAAACTAGCCTGTGAAATGAGTTTTCTCCATTTTCTCATTTAGTTTTGCTGGAGTTAAAATTTTAAAAGTCTTAGGTATTTTAGAAAGAAAACTGGCTTTTTGAGAGAAACCTGGTGTGTATGTCCTTTCGAAATTCTCTCGTCATTCTCTGGATGAAGAAGGCAGAGTAACCTTAATGAAGTTACTGCTTTTTGAAAAACTGCTGTACTCAGTGGTCTCTGGTATATGTGTACATCAACATCTTTCTTCTGATCCTGCTCATTTGATAATAAGTACTTCACAGAAAGGAACGGTTATCTAGCTTAAGAGTAACGAAAATGGAGAGTTATCACTACTGATTTAGTACTATACATAGTCTCCTTTACAAGATTTTCTGGCAAGGATGGTTACTCATTGATGATCACATCTGCAGAAGCTGTACATTCTTTGTAGTAGCACATCCCTTAAAAATCTCAAATTGTTCAAATCTGAACTTAAATTCCAAGGACTGACAGCTAATAGGATTTGCAGACAAATTACCATCAAAACTGTAAATTACCCAGACAATCTTTTCCTGTTCAGGAAATGTAGAGAGGCTAAGTTCTGCACGGTTAAAACATAATACACATGAACCATTCACATGCACCAGTGAAAAATGAAAAAAAGATTAATGGCCAGATAAATACAAAACAAAACTGAAAAACAGAAGTGCTAATAATGTGCTTTAAAATCGGAATTAATACTGCTAATTATTGCAGGGGTATGAATAGCATGAGGTTTGTTTTTTTCTTTTTTTCCTAAAATAATATAAAAGAATCAAAATCAAGTGAAGGATTATAGAATAGAATAGAAAAAAATAAAAATCATACTGAGGATAAATTACGTTGAGAAATTTAAACACTCCTATACTGAGATCACAAAGCTACAAGTAAGGGAAACATTTCTGAGGACCAAGTATAGAGTGAACGTTCTTCAAAACCATGTATGTTATCCTAGGTCACAAAAACCTCAAAACCTCATTTTTCTGTCCCATGTGAAACTACAAGCAGAAAATTCAGTTCCATAAACTGTCATCTATATTGCATCTCAGAAGAGGATTATCCTGCAAGGAAATAGAGATAATAAGTGTCAGATTATATTATGTTAGAGTTGTTTAAAATGACAAGAAGGAGTAAGCTGTTGGACAAAAGTGTTATGGTGGCCTGTGGCAGATTTGGAGCGAAGGACTCGCTTGGATTCACTTCCGCGGGATTTCAGCACGTGCTCGGAATGAAGCATGCCGTTAAGTGCTCGCCTGGAGAGAATACTCAACAAATGAGGTGATATTTTTCCTTCAAGGACTCATTATGGGTTTTTTTGTGGAGGATACCAGAAGACAGTATTTTCCCAAAATGTAGCATGGGATGAAAAGTTTACAAGAGAGCAAATAGGTTAGTGAAAAAAAATGATCCTAAAAGTACTTACTGTGTATAAACTGGTAAGAAGACTGAGATGCTTATATGGTAATAGAAGGAAGTATTTTTTGTATTAAAAAAATTATTATACTGTATTTCCTCACTCACTCTTTTGAGTTGTAATTCTTAGAGCTAATGTTTGTTTCTTTACTGCCAATAGCAAAAATTAAAGGCAAACAGTGGATGGAGCCTTAAAGGGGGGGTTAAACTTTCCTTAAAGTCATCTTTCCAAAAAGAGTTTGATATCTGTCCTGGCATGACCATAAAACCAAGTGCAAAATGGCAAGAAATCATCCCCCTTCAAGTTTTTCCGTGTATAACTTCTGTCTGAAGAGCAGCTACCAAGTTTGTCTGGCTTTGTGTTTTAATGGCCACATATATCATAGCAGTACATTGCTGGCCACCTACTTGGACCTAGAATAAAACATCTGGTGTTTCATTTCAAAAGAGACATGTTATTTTGTGTGAAATATGTTGGAATAATTTTCCCAAGTCACCACTTGTTATCAGTAAAGGCCTACAAATATGCCAAAATTTATTCATCCATATCTACTACTCATATAGGAGAAGAGAGCTTCCCATCACTGTCTACTGCTAAACAATTAATTTACACTGCATTTCCCTTTGGTTTGTTTCAAGAGATAAATGTGACTTGCTAAACTTGTACTCACCGATACAATTCTTTCCATCTGCATCAAGCTCATACCCTTCATAACACTGGCAGACATAAGACCCAGGTGTGTTGACACAAATCTGCTCACAGGCATGTTTCTCCACAGCACAAAGGTCCTGAGCTACAAAACATAATTGCATAAATCTGAAATTCTTTGACCTTCTGTAATGCATGGGTAGACTATAGATAAAAAATACATTTCAGGAAGCTATGAACAGCTCTTTAGATATGAGCTCATTTTAACACATATCATTCCAACGTTCTATCAAACACTGACAAATCTTATGCCAGCAGCAACAATCACTCAAAACTAAGGAGCCCATTCCTTCAGCTGAAGGCAATGACTATTCATGGGCCAATAGTGCCTAGTATAGTTACTTGACTGTATGTTGCTCTAAAATATTTGAAGGGCATTATTCTTTTTTTTGTTTTAATTGTGTCTTTTAAAAATTTTTTTGCATAACCTTCCCAAATAAATGATGACAAGGTTGGAAAGGGAAAGAAGAGGAAAACGTGACACCAAAAGACTTGGTGACACTTAATTTCCGAGTTTTATAATTTTTTACTTTTGTGCAAAGTATCATATCAAGTTACCCCTCACAAGCAAAAGATCTCATTAGAAAAATTACTACAATAAATATCCGTTCAGCACCTGGCTGAATGAAGCACATTGGGCTTTCTTTTCAGTAGGCAAAAGCTTTCTGAGAGGCCCAGGTTTCCCCAGTGAAATCTCCTGAAAGCAGACCACTTTTTGTTTCTCAGGATCAGGCCCAAAGACTGTTCAACGCATAATGACTGTTTATAGCTATAAAAAGGGCTTTTGGAACACATTTGAGAAAACTAGCCAAGCAAATACAAGTTTTCTTTTATAGCTGTCTTCTTCATATCAAACAACATGAACAGCATAAACAGTCATTTAACTCTCTTGTTCCAGTATAAACAGCCACAAATAGATAATTTTCCAGCTTGTTTCAGCTACATTTCCTCTTTTGTACTGTTTTGTATATTAATGTATGATTTCGACATCTCTAGAGAAGAATGGAAGAGCTTAAGTTAAACAAATAAATACAGTGGAAATGAGCAAAGAATAGCCATTATCTGACAAAACCACTCCTTTCTAGAAGTTAGACTAGAGTACATGAAAGGAGCATCCTTTGCATGGATGCAAAACCGTCTTAATTAAGTAAACGTAAGAATATTCGAGTTAAACAAAAGAACTTTTTTTCCCTCTCCCCTCCATTTTGTTTTCCCCCTATGTGGAAAGCAAAAATGATATGTATGGCAGATTTTCTTCCTTCAATGTAAAGAAATACATATTTTTTAAAAATAATTTTATAATGAAATGTATAATCTATTAATAATAGAGTAATAATAAACATAGAATAAGGATAGACAGATAGAATAAAACTATTGCTTATTCAAAGAGAAATGCACCCTTTTCCAGCCTGAAGCAAAGCTGTCAGTTCATTGCTGACTGAAGCCATTTGGTTGAGGACTTAAGAACTGCATAGTGATACAGTGTACACTCACAACACCAAAGAAAGGAGAGAGAAGAATGAAAACACAGCATAAATTTAACTATATACCATTAATTTTTTCTGTATCATTTAATTTAGAAAGTGTTAAAATATATATGTAAGGAAACTCTTTGCTCATGTAAGAGCTGACAAACACATCCAAACCTTAGATAAACACATCTGGTTTATGTTGATCATGTATTGAAGTAACATAAATATGATGAAGATCTATTTTACTTAGAGGTCATGTGAGAAGCTTGTTATCTCTCTGCACTTGTGAAAAAGCAGCAGCCAGTGAAGGTAACTAAAATGATCACAGACTGTGGATTTTCTAATTGCCATGCTTCCTTTTACCTCCATAAATAAACTGCACAGTTTGTCAAGGCTTGGTCTTGTATTTTTCATACCTGTAATTAATTTTATTTTTCATACTTGTAATTAATTTTTTTTCATTGACTTGCAGAAAAAAAAAATCAATTGTCAAAATTGATGTTAGAGGTGAGGATGGGGAAAATGTGTAAGAGGAAATAATAATAATTAAAAAAAAAATTAAATTTCCAGAAAATTGAAAACAAAAGAGTAATTTTTAATTTCTAAAAATTATTTACTCACAGAACCATTTAAGTTGGGAAAGACCTTTAAGATAATTGAGTCATACAATATAAAATTTTAAATTAGAAGGATTTGAAGAGGGACAAAATTAAAAGAATAAGTTAGAGAATATTACTGAAACGGGATCACATTGTCAGAGCCATCATTTGGGATTCTCACCATCATCTTTCTGAAGAGCGATAGCAAATAAGTAGAAGCACAGAAAATAGACTGTGTGAAAAAGTGTGTGACTCTAATCCCCAAGCTGCAGAGTAACCTCGGATACTGCCATACTCTCACTGCTTCCCTGGTCATTAAGTATTTGATATCAAATACAACACTAAGCAAGACAAACAGAGAACCTTCCACTCTCAAGCTACCTGCCTGTTTTATGGCACTCTCCTGAGATGTGGAACATGTGAGTTCAAACACAAGGCTAGGATTTGAGCCTGCATCCTTCAGCTTAGTTCTAAATCAGCAATTGTGAGGGGTACATCCTATGCTCTCAGCATGACTGTCTCCTCTAGCTTCTTGAAAAGACATTTTCTGAAATTTTTCTTCTGGCTAAAATCAGTTTGGCAAATTTCAATTGATCGATGCACTATCATGGGATAAGAAACTGTATTTTTAGCAAGTATATTTTCCACAAGTAGTTAAAAATAGAATTACATAATTCCTTTTAAAAAAATCAGGGATAAAGAGGTAAACTTGGTATACTCACCTAATGTAGTCTCCTGTTAATTACTAGGAAGCAAGTTAAAACAGACAAAAGAAATACTGCTTACAAAGGTCACAAATAAAGTGAAATAGTTTGTTATTATAAGCTATAAAGCAAATTAAAACTGAAAAAAAAGTGAGCCCTTTTAGAGAAGTAAATAACAGCGTAAGCAAGACTTCTGAAACTATTATTTCAATGATTGCAAACCCTTACACTTCAAGAAACAGTCAGGAAGAGCTTTTCAGACTGGCAAGTTATTTCACAGTTCTCTAGTATGGGTTTATTGCACCTTTCTGTACTATTAGTACTGATTGGTATCTAGACAAGTTACTGAAGTAGTTGGACTCATTTTATATGAGATTCTAAAACAGTTCTTTCTTTGATTGTTGCTTCATTATTGAACTTATTACACCAATAAAATTCAAACGCAATTTTATGTAGTTTCAATGTACCTTTTCGGAAACGTGTATAAAAATTAGCTTGATATATCTCAGAAAGGTTTAAAAACTCCATTTACAGAAAAGAAAAAAAAAAAAGAATGACAACTTCACCTATTCAGACTCTTTCTGACGATTACCATTAATTATACTGAGCTCAGTCCTCCTTTATGAGACCCAAAAAAGGGTATGTAATGTTAACTGGGAGCATGAAAGAGTAAAGTTAAGAAAGATAACATACTGCTGCAAGTCTTCTGGTCAGGATTGAGAATGTATCCTTGTTTACACCTGCACATGTAGGAGCCAGGAGTGTTTATGCAGAAGTGATCACAGCGATGCTCAACCGCACTGCACATATGGGGCACTGAAGGACAAAAGGTAAAACGTTATTAACTGCTGTCTTTCTTTCTTGTGGTCACAACTGAAAAAAAAAAAAATGGTTTGGAAAATTTTACTGAGGGAATTTAGAAATTTCAAATTAAGTGTGGACAGTAAAGACAAAAACGGAAACTTAAGTCTGTAAGAAAATCCTTAACAAAGAGTACTATGTATTCATTCCCGAAAACATTAGGAATTTAGGTATTTTCTGTCCGATAGACATTTGTGGCATGTTTTTGGACATAAGATTACATGTGGAATGGAGATATAAATACAATAAAATCTAAAATCTAAAATCTCAAATCTCAAATATAAAATATAAAATAACATTCAATTTCTTGAATGAAGAACACCACCACACAGCACAATACTACAGAAGAAAACAACTAGATGAATACTTGAAAAGAGTTTGATGATTCTTGCATGAAAATCTTCATCAGCTTGATTCTTAATGTGGAGGAGCACGCAAGCAACACATGATGACGCTGAGTTTGTGCACCTCTGAGACCTCATAAGGGGGAGCTGAGCTACACTCCAAAGTCTAAGTCTTTCTGAGTCTTTTTTTAATCTGTTTGTATTTTACGTCTCTAACAGCAAGTAGTAAAATGGAACAGACTAAGATAGTAAGAAAGAAAAAGAACAGTGGGCCCATTCTCTCAAATTCTTTGCTGAACCAATTTTTCTTTAGATCAATATATGGGAACTAAGAGATCTCTTTGATGTTCTCTTTCCACTGGAGCACTGCTTGTATGTAATTTCTATAACATACAGTTGAATTACTTCTCAAAGAACATTGTGTGGAAAACAATATATTTTGCTCAACAACAATTAGGGATTGATGTGCTTCTTATTGGACTAGGTTGACAAAGCTCAGAATGTATGCAATAGATATTAACAGTAATCTTCCAAGAGCCACAACAGAATCCTAATAAATAACCTAGCATGTGGTATGTCTAGTACTTGTGGAAAAAGAAATGTGATTTCAAGATACATGCTATGTATTTGGTCTTGGAATGGTTTCCAGAGTTATGCATTTATTACTAATATATAAGCCACCACAATTCCCACATCTCTTAATCACCTTTTTGGATCGCCTAACTTTCTGCCATAATAAAACTTCCCAAGTACTTTTATTTATGTGAATACAGACCTGCTTGGACTTCTTGTCTTGTCATCTCTCTGTCATTCTGAAAAAGAAGTTTATGACCTTTGATACTTTCTAAGCAGAAGTTTCCTTCTGGCTATATTTCACTAGCTTTCAACACCAGGCATAGCTTGTTATTGTCAAAGAAGTACTTCAAATACGACAAAGGAAAAACATACTCATTTCAGCAGTTTAAGTGTCAGAAAACCTTACCATATACTAATGCTACATTACTATGAAACCAGTCAGTCCTCCCACATCAAAAGCATACGAGGTTGCAAAACAGAGTACTATAAAAAAAAAGGAAGATTCAATGATAGACATTAAAATAATTCAGTCCTTTCTGAGAATATAGTGTTACCAATCTGTCACAAATCTTTCAATATGTTATCCCATAAATTTTTTTACAAAGTGTCTCTGGTGCACCCATGTCAAAGAACAGCAGTACTCTGGTTATTAGTCAGATTTCTGTGGTGAAGGAGGCTACTGTCTGTATGATTTCTGCAACCTCATTTGTGGCAGGAGGTGTTTGGTGGACACAGACAGGGACTGAAGTAACAGAGAGGATGATCTCATAGTTAAGGAATTTAAATGTAAGCCTTGTGAATTAGATTTTCTCTCTCTCTGTGTCACTGGGTCCTTATTTGATCTTCGGCAAGCCTATAATATTAGTATCTTCAAGCAAGCATCAACCTTCACACAGCGTGTGTTCTGCTAGAGACACCTGAACCTGGATCTGCAAGAAAGCAGGGAGCAATCAGCTGCAAATGAAGGCTGCAGAGCTAGGACTGGTATGTTATCTTATTCTAACAATGCTAAATGCCCCAGAAAAATCAGACCAGGAATTGCACCGAGTCAAATAGTTAGTAGGCAATCTTGACAGTCTTAAGCCTGTTCCCGCACCTCCACTCCTGCAACGTAAAATGGGGATGACACCTCTATCTACTTTACAGGAGACTGCTAAAGACTTGATTTGCTCCTGACTGCTCCATCTCAACTTCTGTCTTTCTCACCCTCACAGACCTTCATCCCTTGGCCAGGGTCTCCTCTCATCTTCACAGGAACCATGAAGACACATTCCCAAAGACATTAAGGGCAATCCAGACACAAAGACAGCTCAGGTGCCGAAGTCTTTTCCCACAGCATGAAGCCCAGCAGACTGCATGCCAGGAGACTTGACCAGATAGGTGCCTGCAATTGCTCTAGCAAAGAAACAAGGTGTCCAGATGTTCAACTCCCCTACAATGATAATGCCTCCGAGTCCACACTGGCGAGGACTTTAAAAAACTAGCCACATTTTCCAGGAGGAATGTAGGTGCTCTGGGAAGCAGAGGTTATGGATGCTTAAATCGCTCTCCTGCAACTCAGCAAGCTGAACACTGCTTCACAGCCCAGACTCAACAAAATATTAAAGATCCTATCTGCAATTCAGTCCGTTAAGTTGAAATCTGTAAGAATCAGCTTAACTTCTCTGTTGCATACGGACCTGGGTTTTTAAGTACATTTTTGGATCTCATCTTCAGTTCCTGACACAGCAAATATTGTGGAGCCATTTTTTGAGAAAAGTAGGCAGCAGCAATTCTTGTCACCTCCATACTCCTCTGTCTGCAAGGAGGTGGTTTTATTGAGGCTCACATGTATTTGGGTTAAAAATGAGCGACAAAACTCTTAAATACATTTACTGGACACTGCCTAGACAGAAAAACCGTGATATTTGTACTGGTTTTTTTTCTAAAATGCAATTATAAAAACATCCAGTAAGAAGATGTTTTGAACCATTTGCTGCTTCTTCCATTTAAACTCTTAATCCGTGTTTAGTTTACTCTTTCTTGATTTTAAATGTATCTTACTATGCCAGCTAGTAATACAGCAAGGAATAAACAGGAAAAAAAAAAATCTATTATCTGATGAATATCTGTGATGGTATTTTAAGCTGATGCAGTTCAGCTGGAGCCCTGTTGCTCTTTGAAACAATTTTGGAAAACACCAAGTAAGGAAAATTCTCCAGACTGTCCTGACAATAAGCCTCAGTTCTTTTTTGGCAAAAGCATCCCTAAAGATGAGTGAGCATTCAATCTCACCAAGAATTCTTCTTGGGGACTCTGCTGAAAATGCCTCAGCTTAATGTCAAATCTTTATGAAATCTTACGACCCTGGACTTTGGGTGTGC